TGGGCAGAATGTTGAATGATCCAGGAAGCATTAAAAGAAGACAGAAGGAGTACACAGAGTCACTGTACCAAAAAGAACTGGTTGACACAGAGGAATTTCATGAAACAACATATGAGCAAGAGCCTATGGTAATGAAAGAGGAAGTTCAAACTGCTCTGAAGGAATTGGCAAAAAACAAGGCTACAGGAATTGATGGAATACCAACTGATATGTTTTAGCAAACCGATGCCGGCCCGGACGTGCTCATCAGGCTGTGCCAAGAAACCTGGAGGACAACTATCTCTGGCCAATAGACTGGAAGATTTCCATATTTATTCCCATTTAAAAAAAAAAGGTGATCCAACAGAACGTGGGAATGATTGAACAGTATCACTAATATCACATGCAAGAAAAATGTTGCTTAAGATTATCCAAAAATTACTGGAGCAGCACATCTACAGAGAACTACCAGGAATTCAAGCTGGGTTTAGAAGAGGTCATAGCACTACAGATATCATTGCCAATGTCAGCTAGGTCTTAGCACTACAGATATCACTGCCAATGTCAGCTAGGTCTTGTCTGAGAGCAGAGAGTACCAGAAGTATGTCCACCTGTGCTTCATTGACTATACAAAAGCATTGACTGTGTGGATCACAAAAAATTGCAGCTAATCCTGACCAGAATGGGATTCCCAGAACACTTAATTGTGTTCATGTGAAGCCTATACTTGGACCAGGAGGCTGTGGCAGAACAGAGCAAGGAAACACTGCATGGTTCAAAATCAGGAAAGGAGTGTGTCAGGAATGCCTCCTGTCTCCATTATCTTTTTAATCTATAGGAAGAACAGATCAATCGTATGCTGGGCTTTAAAAGGATGAATGTGGCATCAGGATTGAAGGAAGACACATCAGTAACCTACATTATGCAGATGACACAAACTTGTTTGCTGAAAACTGTGGAGGACCTGAGCGTTTACTGCAGAAGGTCAAGGACTATAGTATTCAATATGGATTGAAGGTCAACATCAAGAAGACAAAGATTCTCACCACTGGGCCAACAGGCAGCACCATGATGGATTGAGGTTGTTAACAGTTACAGCTTGCTCAGCTCCACAATCAACACTCTCAGCAACCAGCAGTCAGGAAATCAAAAGATGAATTTCACTGGGAAAAATCTGCTGTCAAGGACCTCTCCTGAACGCTAAAGAGCAACCATGTTAGCCCATAGACTGAAGTGCGCCTGGTCCAGGCCATGGTCTTTGCAATTATTTGCTATACATCAGAAAACTGGACAATGACTAGGGATGATAGAAGGAGAATTGATGCCTTTGAGTTGTGGCGCTGGAGAAGAGTCTTAAACATACCATGGATCACCAAGAGAACAAATAGGCCTGTCCTGGAGAGGGTGAAACCAAGTCTCTCCTTGGAGGCTAGCGTTTTGAAGCTCCATCTCACATACTTTGGGCATGTTGCCAGGAGGGACCTGTTCTTGGAGAAGGACTTCGTGCTTCAAAGTGTGGAGGCTCAGTGCAGGAGAGGAAGACCCTTGATGAAATGGACTGGCACAGTGACTGCGGCAATGGGGTAGGAGTTTTAGAGATGGTGACGTTGGCTCAGGATAGGGCAAGCTTCAAAGCCATTGTTCATAGGGTTGTTATTGATTGTAGCCCATTTGACAGGACATATAAACAACAACAACAAACGCATGAACTTTGCCTGAAAGACTACACAGGAATTGGATTGACTACTTTTATGGAAAGTAGCAGCAAAGAAGCAATACATCAAGTCTATTCTTCATATGGGTTTTAAATTCAGACATGATATGCTTAAAGTCCTATTTTGGTTCTCTTGCACTTGTCTTTGTTTCCTTCACTTTCTATTTGAATTTGCATATGAGTAGTTGATGGTCTGTTCCTGGTCAGCCTCTAATATTGACTGCTATTGACTGCTAGTATTGAGCTGCTTTGCTGCTGTTGTTGTTGTCGCTATGAGTCGTCTTGAAACCCTAAGTCTCTGTAAACTCTCATGAAAATTAATTTAATTAAAATTAATATATTAATTAAAATTAATAATTAATAATGATATCATCCAAAAAGAAAGCCAAAGGTCAAGACAAGACTAAAATGTATGTCTAAAGAATCTGAAAATTGCTCTTGCGCAGAGAGTAAATTATGGAAAACGCTGAAGAGAATGGGAATTCCAGAACACTTGCTTGTGCTCATGTGAAACCTATAAAAGGCCAAAAGTCTGAAGAGAACAGGGGAACACTGCATGGTTTCTAATCAGGAAAGATGTGTGTCAGGGTTGTAGCCTTTCTCCACTCTGTATCCTGAGCATATGATTCGAGGAATAAGACTCTATGACGTGGAATGTGGTATCAGAAGTGGGGGAAGATTCATCCAGAACCTGAGTTACACAGATGACACAACCTTGCATGCTGAATGTGAAGAGAATCTGAAACACTCACTGAAGAAGATCAAAGACTACAGTCTTCAGTACTCAAGAGGCAAGAGCTCAACATCAAGAAAACAAAGATCTTCGCCAACATGTCGCAGCATGCAACAGCATGACAAATGAAAAAAGATTGACGCTGCCATTGATTTAATTTTCTTTAAATGCACAATCAACAGCCATGGCAGAAGCAGTTAAGAAATAATAAGACTGCTGTCTTTGGGGAGGTCTGTGATCAAGGACCTGTCTAAGGGGCTAAAGATGCTGTTGTTGTTAGTTGCATGGAGTCAACTCCAACAAACAATGGGGTTTGTAAGAGTCATCCTACAAACAATGAATCTGAATCCTGCCCTATCCTGTGCCATCTCCATCATCTCTGACACACTTGAGCTCATTCTTACAGTCTCTCTGTCAGGCTATCATTGTAGGATCTAATCTAGAATGATTTTTGTTAAAAGCGTTCCTCTCTTTTGCTGACCCTGTATGAGATGAAGCTTCACCATCCTTGCCTCCAAGAAGCACTCTGCTTGTACTTTCTCTGGGACCTATTTATCTGTTTTGGCAGTCCATGGAATAGTCAGCACTCTGCCCCAGCACCACAACTCAAAGGCATTGATTGATTCTTCTGTCTTCTCATCGTCCAACTTTGATCATTGCTCTCTAGAACGCTGGAGAGGCTTTGATAGCAGATTTCCCCAATGCAATATGTCTTCTGATTTCATGACTGCTGCTATCAAAGGTGTGGATCCAATTAAGACGAAATATCTAACAATTTCAATCTTTTCTCCATCTAGCATAATGTTGCCTACTGGCCAAGTGCTAAGGTTTTTCCTTTGATGTTGAGATGTAATTCATATTGAAGGATACAGTGTTTAATCTTCTGCAGTAAATGTTTCAAATCCTTGTCACTTTCAGCAAGCAAGGTTGTGTGTGTGTTCTGCATGACACAGGTTGTTGATGAGTCTTCCTCTGATCTTGATGCCACATTCTTCTTGATATAGTCCAGCTTCTCAAATGCTGTAGTCAGCACACAGATCAAATAGTTACGGAGAAAAAAAAATCCAGCCCTGATGCACATCTTTCTTGATTTTAAAGTATGCAGTGTTCCCTTGCTCTGTATAGACAATAACTTCTTGGTCTATGAGCTGTTAAGTGTTCTGGGATTCCCATCCTTCTCAATGTAAAAGTGCTAAGAAGCAAGAGTTTAATTACAGCAGAGATTGTGAAGTCAGCATAAGATTTAGTCTATTGTCTATAGGGTCACTATAAGTCCTAGTTGGCTGGATGGCACCTGACAATAGCATGTGAAATAGTTATGTGTGCGGGTTTCTTCCCATCTACTGTTCCTCTCAGTGCTAGTGACTGGTGACCAAGGGCCACAGACATTCATATCTCACCCTCTTCAAGGCTAGATTAAGTTTTAGTTAAAAACACAGGGCCTTCTGTGTCACACAAAATTTCCACATATGTACAAAGGACAAGACAACTACACTCACTATGGTTGTTGATCAGGTTAAATGAGAATCTACAACCTCTTTTGCTTATGAATAGTTCCATTGTGAGAAGTAGAGGACCTGAGTACTGAGAAAAGGCCTATTAACACTAGATGATGGAGTTCTCATTCCTTTGGGGAGAGGTCCTGTTCAGGCCCTCTGAGTCTAGGCACAGACATAGCTGAAGGAGAAGGCTGTATTGATGCAGAGGTGACTGTTGGGAGGGAAATGAAGCCTCTGGGGACTTGCTGGGCAGGATTCTAACAGGAAAGTCGGATGGTGAGCCAGGTAGGGATATAGGTCAGGTGCATTTGTATCTACCCGTCTGTCAGTCCATCCATCCATCCATCCATCCATCCATCCATCCATCCATCCAAGGGGACTGTCGTTAGGAGCTCCTCGCCCCAGAAAGCAGGCAAGGTATGTGGGCCGTGAGGTCTCCGTTCACTCACTGTCCAAGGTCTCTCAGTTAGTCAGCTCTGGGAGGAAGCAGGAGAAGCCAGGCCTTTTAGGCAGGGGTCTTGCAGTACTTAGACTCGCTATTCTCTCTAGGGAATTCACTCTAGGCCACGTGCTGAGGGACTTGCAGCTGCGGTTCCAAAGATTTCCTCAGCTTGTGACTTCGAGGTGCCATCGGGAGCCGCCCCACTCTGCTGGTTCCAGTTCCCAGGGGCAAACAGAGGGCATGCCAGCAGGTCCCCAGGCGTGGAATCAAGGGTGGGGCTCTTGGTTCCTGGAGGCGGGGCTAGTGGATCCTGGGGGTGGCGCTCCTGGCCCTGGGGGCTGAGATTTTTGGTTCCCGGAGGCGGGGCTCTTGTTGTGGGTGGGGGAGACGGTTCCAGGGGCGGAGTCGGTGAATGCGGGCCTATGGCCTGGCGTGACACTACTCTTGCGCTTGCGCCTGCGCTTGCGCACTCATGCGTGTCTCCTTTCCCCAGCTGGGCTCGGCGGCTCAGCCAGGGGCGGGCCGGGGGCGGGGTGGGGGCGTGTCCGCGCCCCGCCGCCAAGGGCGGACCTAGTTCTCGCGGCTGGCAGATCTCCTTCCGGCCGGCCGCGTGGTGCCGCGCGGGCTCTGTTGATGGAGGCTGTGAGCTGGGAAAGCCACGGACCAGGGGCGGCGGCGCCCAAGGCGAGGGTGCACTTCCGAGTGACGAGGTTCATCATGGAGGCAGGTAACCGCGGACCGGGCGGACGAGCTGGGCTGGACAGGGTTCGGAAGTGCGCGTTTGCAGGCGAGAGTGCCGAGCCTGCAGTGCCTGGGGTGCACCGAGCGGGACTGCTTCCTGGAGGAGGTACTCCCAAAAGCAGCCCGATGAAGTGCCAGCCACGTCCTGTGTCTCTGGCACAGGGGGACTGCGTAGCCCAGTTCCCAGGGATAGATGGACCAGAGCCCCGTGTCCCCTTGCCCACAAGTGGCGGGCGGTCGGCCCCTGTCGGCTGTCTCTAGCGCCTCCCGCCACACCTGGCTCCCGGCATCCCTCGCTCTGGCCTTTGGTGACTGTGGGCCCTTTGGAGCATGCTGTTGGCTATAGGACTCGGGCCAGCCTTGTCCCTGTTAAGCCATGTCTTGCACCCTGGCAGGGCGACCTCCTGGTGGCGCGTGCTCTAGCTCCCAAGGGAATGTACCGCAGCTGTCTGATTTCTGTAGAAAGCCCTACGCCTCATTGAACTGCTTAGGAGCTCTTGAGAGTCAAACCTGTAGCTACTGTGGCATGTGGGAAAAGACGTTTTAGACAGATGGCCATGGTGTTAGGTGCCTTCAAGTCAATTCCAACTCTTAGCCCTGTCGTGATTGCTTTGTGTGTAGTCTTTAAAAAAAAGTTTTAATGTTTTCCGTTTTTGCACCCCAGCCCACTCCACAGTGCACCCCTTGTTCCAGGTTGTTGTCATGCATATAATGCCTAATCATAACAACAATCATAATACCTAATCATGCATTCCTTTCTGACAGTTCTTCCTCTCTATTCTAACGCAGTATTCATTATCTAGCTACCCTTTTCCCATTCTGTCCCCAACTCCCCATGTGTGTCCTGATTTATAACAGTGGTGTTATGTGGTATTTGTCCTTTTGTGACTGAAATATTTCACTCAGAATAATGTCCTCCAGTCTCCCCCATGGACAAGTTCATTGTTTTCATTGTGTGAATGTAGCATAGTTTTTCTGTCCATTCGTTTGTTGATGGGCACTTGGGTTGCTTCCACCTCTTTGCTACTGGGGGTATGCACACTCATGTTTAGTCTGTTGCAGCCATAAGCATGACTGCATACATGTATTCAAGTTGCACCTCTGATTTGTTTAGGGTATATTCCCAGTAGTGGAATTGCTGAGTCAGATGGCTATTTCTAACTTTCTGAAAACGTGCAAGACCACCTACCATAATGGTTGTACCATTTTATGCTCCCACTAGCAGTGAATTAGAGTTCCAGTCTCTCCACAGTGTCACCAGCATTTGGTGTTTGTGTGTGCAGTCTTTGACAAACTGGTCACTTAGTGTACAGAGGAGCTGAGGTGCAAGGCCATTCATCCCAGTGATTGTTAAGATGACTTTGTTTTCCAAGAGTTTCCAAGTGTATTAAAGAGTGATGGCAGTGTCCCATTTACTGTCATAGTGAGAAGCATTCTGCTTACTCTTCGAGGGTTTGCTATGTGAAAAGGTGTGCAGCAGACTATAGTGGGAAGGAGTAGCTCATAGAGGAATTGGCTATATGAGTAAAGCTCAAATTTTGAAATGTTAAACATTCTTTGGTTATCACTTGGAAGGAATTATTTGTAAAACATTTTCCACATGCCACTTATAACAAGCCTTCAAATATGTCCATGCCCTCGAAACGTTCAGACTGATTCCTGTTGAGTTGAACCAATTCCTAACTGACCCTCCAGTGAGTTTTCAGAAGCTGTAAATCTCCAGGAGGAGGTTTCCGCTCTTTCTCCCTCAGAGCAGCTGATGGATTGGAAACACCAGAGAGGTATGGCCTTTGGGTTAGCAGCACAAACTCTGTGGCCATCAGAGTCCTGAATCTGTGAGTTGACCTTATGTAGCAAAAAAGCTTTTGGAAATGTGGCTCAAGATCTTGAGGTGGTAAGAGTACCCTGGCCTGTATGTCTGGGCCCAATACAATCACAGCGATTCTAAGAAGGATTCATGAGGCCAGAGTCAGAGGAGAAGGCCATGTGGTGATGGAGGCTGAATTGGAAGATGCTGCCACTGGTTTGGATGGTGGAGAAAGAGGCCCAAAGCCAGGGAATCGGAGTGGTGTGTAGGAGCTGCAGATAGATATTCCTGTGCAGCCTTTAGAAAGAATGAACCTCACCACCACCGTGGTTTAAGCCTATTTAGTTTCATTTCAGACTTCCAGCTTCTGGAAATGTAAGAGAATGCATTTGTATTACATGTTCCTGAGTTTGTGACTGTTTATTATAGCAGCACCAGGGAACTTATTAATCTTCTTAGGTAAAGGATGCTAAATGGAATTGAAGGTGGCCATTTGCCCAACTCTGCTTGCTTGTCACTGCAGGATGTTGTAGAAATCTGTTTCAAAGGTCAAATTGGAAAGAGTAGAAACTCAACAGTGCACCTCATGACTGCAGGGTATCTGTGATGCCTGCCGGTAAGCACCATCATGATGGATAGAAAATAGTTTAAAATCGTCAATGATTTCATCTTACTTGGATCCACAGTAGACACAGTGACTGTAGCTATGGCCTCAAGTGGGTCTGAGATGTTGAAGATGGCACAGGAAAGGAGAGGGTTCATTCAGGTCTGTTCATAGAGTTGCTAGGAGTCATATTTCACTCAACAGCACCTAAAAACAACTCTCCCACTTTCTCCCATCCTCCTGTGGGCCATGACTTAACCTACTTCTCTTGCTAACTGTGCTCATGGTGAAACCGTTTGTTTAGTTATCACAGTGATTTCCTTGAAATGTACACTTGGACCAGGAGGCAGTCCTCAGAACAGAGCAAGGAAGCACTGCATGGTTCAAAATCAGGAAAGGACTGCGTCTGGGATGCGTCCTGTCTTCATACCTTTTCAGTCTATATGCAAAACACATCATCCGGGAGCCTGGGCTCTATGAGGAGCAATAGACTCGTCAACAACCTATGTTATGCAGATGATACAACCTTGCTTAATGAAAGTGAGGAGGACCTGAAGCGCTTGCTGCAGAAGGTCATGGACTGCAGCCTTCAGTCTGGATTGAAGCTCAACATCAAGGAAACAAAAATTCTCACCACTGGATCAATGATAGCGCCATGATAGGGAAGAAGCAATTGAGGTTGTTAATAATTACAGCTTTTTTAGCTCCACAGTCAACACTCTTTTTAACACCAGCAGTCAGGAAATCTAAAGACAAGTTGTATTCAGAAAAATCTACTATAAGAGACCTACCTCTCCAGAGTGTGGAAAAGCAATGATGTTAGTCTAGAGACTAAGGTGCGCCTGATCCAGGCCATGGTCTTCACAGTTACTTGCTGTGTGTCAGAGAGCTGGACAGTGACTAAGGATGACAGAAGAGGAATCAATGCCTTTGAGTTGTGGTGCTGGAGAAGAGTCTTGAACATACCATGGACCGCCAAGAAAACAAATTGGTCTGTCTTGGAGAGGATGAAACCAAGTTTGTCCATGGAGGCAAGGATTTTGAAACTCCATCTCACATACTTTGGGCACGTGACCAGGAGGGACCAGCCCTTGGAGAAGGATATCATGCTTGGAAAGGTGGAGGGATGGCACAGGAGAGGAAGATCCCAGAGGAGATGGATTGACTCCATAATAGGGATAATGGGGTTGAGTGTATCAGAGACAATGAAATAGGCTGAAGATAGAGCAAGATTCAGAGCTGTTGTACATAGGGTCGCTATGAGTTACAAGCAACTTGACGGTACAAAACAACAACAGGACCATACTCTTTCTGAAAGGAAGGGCCTTCCCTTTCCGGGCTTCTGGGCACCCAGGCATTCCTTGGCTCTTGGCAGCATGACTCAGCCCATGTGGCAGTCTTTCCTCTGCGTGTCTCTGCTCTTTTATAGGGCTCAGCACGGATGAATTAGGACTCACTGACTCCAGTCTGGCCCCCTGCTAATTTAACTGGTAGCACCTATGTCAAAAGAGCACAGTGATGTGAGCACAGCCATGTCTTACCTCTGCTAATTCCACAATGACAGCATCCACAACACAAAACCAATTCCTGTGAGATCCAGCATGCCCTCCACGCTCCCACACTACTTCCTACTAATCCCAGCAACAATCCTACTGCTCTGCTGGGTCAAAAATCTATTCTAATAGCTACACAGACCTCATGGAACCATACTCACAGTTAAGGGATATTAGGGAATTTAAAGGTTACAGCTCAAGTTAGCGGCAGTATACAGTCCGTCAGGACAGCTTCTGTGCTTACGGGCCTTTGAGCATTCAGTCTTGGGGCTTTAAGCCAGTGTTATAGTTAAGGCATCTCCTCCTCCCAGTCCTCCAGCAAGCTTGGGCGATAGACCCTGGTTCTGGTTCTGGTTCCGTGGGGCCACTGTCATGGGTCAGCTCTGCCTCACGTTGGTGGCCTGGTTTTCTCCTGCACAGCTGCTGCTCTTCTGTGGGTCTGGCGGGCACAGGACTCTGGTCCCAGAGGACACTCACTGCGTCCTCTGCTGCCACTTTGCTGGTATTGAGATTCCCAAATCTCCCTCTGAACCTGCACACTTGAAAGCTGGTAGAACAACAATAAATGAATATTTTTTAAAAACCCCAAAAAACAAACAAACAAAAAAAATGTGAACTGGAGGAAGGAGGAAAATGTGCAACAATGAATGAATGAAAATCCAAATTTTATGTTCTTCGCAGCACATACCCCACAATGGCAACAATACAGAGAAGATTAGCACGGGCCCTGCATAAAGTGGACACACACAGTTGTAACACGTTCCACATTTTTTAAAAAACTTATGTTATCCAAGGCAATATACGTTAGTCTGTAGAAGTTACTAGAAGCCTTTAATGTAGGTAAAATGGACTTGGAGTCCAAGAAATTCCAGTTAAAATATTAGAGAATAAAATACATGCATGAATGGATTTTTTAAAATTAAAAAATCCAACTCTTCTGTAAACTTTCATTAAAATTACAATTAAAATGTAAAAAAACTATAGAGTAAAACAGAAAAGCTGATGGAATGGCAAAGATAGGAAGCCATTTTGAACAGTCATCCCACTCCAAATCAGGGTCTTTGTGGCGGCCAAGGGAGTGGTCTTGAATCAACCATCTGCTCTGTGGGAGAAAGCTGGGCAGTCTCCTTATTGCCTCAGAAAACCTGTTGGAAAAAAAAAAAAGAAAGAAAACCTGTTGGAGGGCTCGCTGGGGGTCAGTTCCAACTCAGTGGTACAGGGAACCACTCCCATCGTGAAGGTACGTCACGCCCTCAGTGGAGATGGCCACGCCTGTCCTTAGAAGCAACCCTGCTTCTGTCTTGTGCCATTTTGAATCTGTGTGCTGTCGGTTAAATGCCAGGAATAGTCCTTAGTGTCTCGGTTTGGGGCATCTGTCAGTGACTCAGGCCTCCCCCCACCCCCATCTTGGCAGGCTTTTGTCGATGAGGCTCAGGTGGGTATGACCTTCCCCAGGCCTTGTCACATGTCGCTTTGATAGAAGGGTGAATGCTGTCAAGACCCAGCAGCTCCTCAGTCCCCGGGTGGAGGGCAAAGGGAAGGACCCAGGCAAGTGACATTCCTCTCTGCCCTGCTGGCCATTTCCTTCCTTCAGGTGCCAAGCTTGGACTGCACTCCATTCCTGTTGCCACAGCGTGTACCATTTACCACAAATTTTTTGGCGAGGCTGACCTGGACGCCTATGACCCCTACCTCATCGCCATGTCTGCCATTTATTTGGCTGGCAAGGTGGAGGAGCAGCACCTGCGCACACGGGACATCATCAATGTGTCCAACAGGTGAGTGCACTTGGGCCAGGCCTCTGGGTGGACAGTGCAGGGTCACTTGGGCTCTGAAGGTTGGAGGTGACCATGATGGGCCTGGAACCAAAGCCAAAATCCGCATCAGTGGAGTCACAGATAAGGCTAGTGTTGGTGCCAGCGACTGTGGGTGGGCAAACTGACCCTTTGTGGAAAGCCTTGAAGGCTGAGATGAGGAGACGGCCTCTGTGGCTGCACAGAGATCTTTGACAGGAGGCGATTCATGGAAGACGTGCTAGCCAGGATGGATCAGATGAGCAGAGGAGCCCCACAGGCCATGTCAGGCATGACAGCTAGAGTCCAGGGTTCACCAGGGAAATGTCTTTGCCCTGGCATGGAGAGCCCTGTGGGAGGCCAGAGCCCTGTGTCCGGGTGGGGAGGGATGCACTCTGTTAACACAGTGGCCCAAGGGGGAGAACGTAGGGAGAAAACCCCTTACAAGCCATGGCCTTGCTGTGGCGGGGCCTCTGCAGGGGAAACCTCGTTCAGGCAGCACACAAGGCTCTGGTACCCAGTGGGTGTGCAGGGTGGAGACCTGGGCCTGGTGACTCAAACGTGAAGGGGTGCACTTGCTTGGTTGGAGCTCGGGGGAAATTTGTAAAGTTCATAAGGAAATTGAAACCGGAAAAGCCTGCACACTGGGAGAATGTTATTCTTACGGCTTGCGTAAACCGAGGCCCTGGGGTCCAGAGCACGGCCCTGCACATGGCTGTTCGAGGTCACCCGAGCTGGAGAATGGTGCCGCCTGGGCATGCGAGCTGTGCCTCTCCTTGACGACTGGGCTGGTTGCTGGATGACTCAGGGAGGGCCTCTCCCTCTGGTGGCCAGGGTCTTCGGCTGCACCCCACACATGCAGCTGGAGACTGTCAAAGAAGTAAAAAAGGAATCCAGTGTTAGGAACTAGTGGCATGTCGCTCCTGGGCTTGTCATGCTCAAGCTGTCCCCTGTGTGCAGGGCCCTGTCAAGCTGTGCTAAGTGGCTGTCTTCTCACACAGGTACTTCAACCCAAGTGGCGATCCGCTAGAGCTAGACGCCCGCTTCTGGGAGCTCCGGGACAGCATCGTCCAATGTGAGCTCCTTGTGCTCCGGGTTTTGCGTTTCCAGGTCTCCTTCCAGCATCCACACAAGGTCAGTGTTCCCAGAGGGCCAGGCAGAGGCCAACGTCCGACCACCTACACGACATATTCTCGCCTCGCTCAGTGGGCTCTCAGCTCAGGGCCCAGCATTTGTTCAGACCGTGTGTTCCACCTCCACTCTCTGTGGTGGTGTGCTAGAAGCCATTGCGTGTCGCCCAGCCCATTGCCTCAGGTGACAGGCCTTGTATGGGTTGAGTGGCTCTCCAGGCTTGGTGCTCATACCCTGCTCAGCATATTTAGAAGCTTGAATTGTGGACTGTGCTGTTCCCCTGGAAGGATGCCAAGGGGGGGAGTCAGTGCGAGAGGAGGGCAGTGTGTGTGATTGTCCGATGCTCTCCTCAGTCTTGCTGCTGGGTAGACACCGGGGAAGAGCTGGCTCGGTATCTGCAGAGGGAATTGGCAAGACAGCAAGTCACAGAAAGCAGAGTCCTTGGGCTTGTGAGGCTGGCAGTGTGCTGCTTGTCCCTTCAGCTTGGTGGCATACCAGAGTCATAGTGGTGTGGTCCCAAGGCTCTTGTAACAAGAGCAGAAAATGACTCCCTCGCGGCTTTGCAGCCTGGAGGTCCCAGCTCATGGTGTTGGCCAAACTGCATCCTTCTGAGGTGCCGAGAAAGGATCTGTCCTTGGGGTCCTTTAGCTAATAGGACACCAGTATGGAGCAGGGGACCCTCCCTACTTCAGGGAACCATGCCTCGTGACACAGTGGTCATAGAAGACAGAGTAGAACTGTGTCATAGGGCTTGCGCGGCTTTGAGTCTTGCAGAGGCAGACAGCCCCATCTTTCTCCTGATTTTTATAGTCACATAACACATACAAAGGATTTCCGTAAGATTGGTAGCGTCGCAGCTGGTGAGGGGGTTGAAATACGGCCTTCGGGTTAGTAGCTGTGTGTGTACCCACCAGGCCTCCTGCGTCCAGCCTGGCCCTGTGTGAGCTGATAGCATCTGCGCAGACCCTGTTTCTCCGTGTGGTCATGTTGGAGATGCTCAGGGTCAGGACACAGGCCTTTCTAGCAGCCACCATACTAGTGCTTTTCAAAGCTAGTGTCCTGCTACTGTGCGGACAGGCAAACTTGTGAACAAGTGGAGTGTGTTTTCCGGTTGATCTCGGTGGGGCGAGTGAGTGTTGCGTGGGGGCTGGAGTTGGCCGGCCGGCACAGTCAGATGCAGCCCAGGGAAGGAGGTGGGCCGGGGACGGAGGGCAGGACTTGGAGGCTGGCTAACTGCGTTGTCTTTTCAGTATCTGCTCCACTACCTGATCTCCATCAAGAACTGGATGAACCGTTACAGCTGGCAGCGGACACCCATCTCTGTGACCGCCTGGGCCCTGCTGCGGGACAGTTACCATGGGGCTCTGTGCCTCCGCTTCCAGGCACAGCACATAGCTGTGGCGGTGCTTCACCTGGCCCTGCAGGTGTATGGCATCGAGGTGCCCGCCGAGGCCGAGGCTGAGAAGCCGTGGTGGCAGGTGAGGCACTGCTCCGTGCACTGTCTGCCTGGAGCATGTGCGCCGGTCCTCCTCCTGAGGGTCTCCGGGCACATCTTTTTTTCTGCATGTTCTTGTTCCATTTCGCCCATTGTCCATGACGGCCTGGAGTAGTTGGTACTGTGGATGCTGGATCATTCTCTGTGGCTCTCCTGTGCGTCAAATGGGAACCTGAGCTGGGCCATGTTAATATGCCCCTTGCCTGGGAGCTCGTCCTGAGAGTTCCCTGACTCCTCCCTCGCCTCTTGCCACCTCCTCCTGGCAGCTTTCCTGATGCTCTCTGTTCCGTGGTAGATGCTAGCCCCTTCGTCTGTCCACCCTCAGCCAGGAGCTGGCTCCCCCAAGAGGCCTGCTTCCATGCTAGTGTTTCTGAAAACAGGGAAGGCTTCCTTCGCAGCCACCTCTGCTTTTTGTCCCTTGCATCAACCCCGAGGGCTCCTGCGGCCAGCCCGCAGCTGTGGAGGCCTGCGGATTGTCTCCTGGACAGGCCGTTACCTTTTCTCTGGCAGGCCCCCCAGGGTTGTCATTTGCCCATTTCTTAGCTTGAGCTTTATAGAACCAAAACAGTAGCAAGCCTCCTGAGCCAGTGCTTAGAAATTTCCAGATCCTCATCACCTTACAGAGGCCTTTCAGGGGTCCTGGCTTGCTTTGTGGGGAGAAGGAAGAAGGGGCCCTCAGGTCGAGTGCCCCACTGGCTCAGCCTGAAGCCTTTACTGGTGCTCCTCAGGGGTACCCAGCATCCACCTGGGGGTTCGGGGCTGTGGTTAGTGATCTCCCTGTTGGGGCTCCTGAAGACTGCTCCCAGGCTTGGTGATTAACCCACAGGACTCACGGGCCTCGTGCTTTTAGTTTCTAGAAAGGGTCCAGACTCAAAACCGCCAGTGGACGGACATCCCAGGCGAGAGACCAGGCGTGCGCCCACTTTTGGTGACAGTTACGGGGGCGGGGGGTGGGGTGTGAGCATTGACTACCAGGGAATGCCGACCAGGCCTTGTTGTCCAGGGATTTCACTGGGGGTTAGTCACTTAAGTGGGGAACATCCACTTCAGTCCCCCAAGACCCCACCATGAGTCTCATTGCTGATGCAGACTGGGCTGGCTCAAGGCTCCAGGTACACGGGTTGGGAAGATGGCCAGAGCCAGGCGTGGGTGCAGCTCCGCCACCAATTCCCTGAGCATCTTTGGACAAGTCCTCTCTCCTCTCTGAGTTGGATAATCCATCTGAAATATTCTCTGCTATGTCTGATCTCCAGTGGGCTGTGCCTTCCTTTGGCTGAGGAAACACAGTGCTCAGCTTCAAGGTTGGTGGCCGGGTTTGAAACAGAGTGAGTCTAATTGGAACCTGTTTTTCTTCTTTCTAGGTGTTTAGTGACGACCTTACCAAGCCAGTCATTGATAATATTGTGTCTGATCTCATTCAGATTTATACCATGGACACAGAGATCCCCTAAGACACTGGTCCAGGCCTCTCCAAAGAGAAGCGGGATGCTTGGCTGCAGACTGGACTTGACAGGCTAGCTGGGGACGGCTCCGCCACATCGCCACGCAGGCCCATCCCTAGAGGACTGGTGGGGAGCAGTGGAGATGGCTGCTCATGGCACTTTGCTCTGTGGCCGTGATTGCCTCTCCTTGACCATGCACCAGAAGAAGGGTGCGCACATTAGCGGTGGCCCTCAGGTGGTCTCTGCGCTTTGGCCTTTCGAGGATCAGACTGTGTGAAGCATGGCTTCACTGAGAAAACGACCCCTGGGATTGTTGAGAACCAAGCTTTTTAGGAAGAATGACTGCACATAGAGGAGATTCTATTTTGTCTAATAAATGGTGATACCAGCCCATGCCAGTGCTCTGTATTTGCTCTGGAGTTCACACTGCCCTTGGGGACTTTGTGAGTACCCTAGATGCTCTCTGGGTTCAGGAGATGCTCTTAGCGCCTCTGTGGCATCCGAGCCCTGTTGCTCAGGGGTCATGGGTGTCCTTTCTGTCACTGTGCATGTGAGCATCCTTAGCATTCTGGAAACACACAGCTCTTGGGCCAAGTTCAGGCTCAGGGGGGCACCATCTTGGTTCCGAAAGGCTACACTTGACCCACCCTTGGTTCAAAGATATTCAGATCAGATTGTCTCCTTGGGGCACCCCTGTTGAAGGAGTCCAGGGAGACATGTGGTGGGGGGAGTGGGGAGAGAAACCATATTGAGCCCTGGGTGTGTCCAGTCCAGGGATACAGACAGCACAAATGTAGGAGGGATACTGAGCATGGAAGAGTGGGCTCTGGGCAACTGGCCTTGCCCACCAGCACCCCAAGTGCAAACTGGAAGTCATGTGCTGCCATGTGACTCGGAGTGTGGGTTCTCTGGGTCATGGCTGTGACAGACACTGGGGGACCAGGAAGATGGCCTTGGTTCACATGCTCCTACATGTAGTTCCAAGGGAGAGGAGGGCCCTGCCGGGGCAGCAAGTGGAGCTCACAGTACCTGAGGACAGCAGTGGGGGCACCAGCAGCAGGTGGATAGTGGAGTCAGTTCACTGCAGGAGCTGCTGGATGAGGGGCAGCGGGACCACTGGGCCTTAGTCCAGGCTTCCAGACCGGGTGGCATGGGCCGCCTCTGCTGGGGGTGCAGAGAGGCACCTCGGGCAGCGAGCAGGCTGCTCCTTCCTGCCCTGCTGGCCTTAGGGCCCGAGTCGTCAGTCGCTGTCTTCACTGCTTGGTGCAGATCCACTCAATGGTCTGTGCTGAGCCCCACCACTGCCCCTGTCCTGGAGGTGCCTCTTACATCTGGGGGGCAGCTTCGCGCCAAGCACATGGCCCAAGGGGCTTCCCCTCCTTCAGTTGAATCAACCCATCTTTACAGGAGTTGTTTACATCCTTCCAAAGCCTGGATGTCACCACACAGTTCAAGGGGACTTTCTTAGCAAACAAACCTCAAGAGAGCTGGAAGACTGGAGAAGCAGGAGTGGTGGCAGCTGGAAGCAGGGACAGCACTACCAGAATTTCCCTGCTGGTCTTGAGAAGGCGACCTTGTGTGGAAAGGTGCTAGTTCTGTGGAAGACTAGGGATTGTTCCGCGCACCTGCCCCTCACCAGGGAGCTGGATTGTTGGCTGAGGGAACCTATGTCCCAAGTGACAGTGGAGTCCAAGTGGAAAAGAGATGCACACTGTGCTGGTAGAGCACCTCTGCCAAGGGCAGCGGCACCTGGGGCTCATCCACTCTGGGACTGCTGACGCTGGGGGGACTCTGCGGACGCGGGGGCGCGGGGTGTGGGAGGAGGCAGTGGACCTTAGCTTTTGTAGTTTGGAACGAGGGTGATGCCCACAGATATTCACACACCTGAGCAATGGGAGATGAGAGAAACGCTGAGGTTTTTTTCACTGCTCACAGTGGGCATTCCAGGGCCCTCTCCCATTCCCCATCTGAGCTCTAGCCTGGACAGATGACTCAGGCCTGTCCCACTTACGGCCTCAGTTACAGGGACAAACTTGCTAGGGAGCCTGCCTACTCCTGTCCCCCCAACCACCCTGCACTGTGTGACAGTGCTGTGACAGCTAGTGACATGGGTGGGGATGCCTTGTCAGAAAGAACACGCAGTTCAGACTGGTATCAGAAGAGCCATTCTTTTGTTTTCTCTCTCTTTTTTGTACACAGAAATTTTGGTCTATACTTTAAATTAGGAAACTCAACTACAGACTTTAAATTATTATGCATCTGTGGTCTTTCTCATTAGGATAATTTTTTTGTTTGTCTTTATAACAGGCAGATAAAAATGTAAAACATATAATGACTGGACACACTTAAGGAAGCCATTCTAGAGTGCTTTGTGGAGAGGGCTTGCCAGCTGCGTCAGCCTGAAACTGGGCACCCAGAGCCGGGCCTGAGGGTGTGCTGCCCTTGCCCGGCCCCCAGCCCAGGGGAAGGTGGTCTCACGCCAGGCGACTTTGTACAGCAGCAGCGGCGAGGGTGGGGTGGGTCCACGCGGCTCTCCAGGGCCTCTGAGCACAGGCCAGCCGCTGTCCAGTCCATGCTTGTCTTCTGTGCGTCCACCACGCCCGGTTGTAGTCTTTAAGAACACAAAGCCCTCAGCAGGCTGAATTGCCTTTTTTGTTGTTTAAACAAGGACATCAAGGAACAATTTACAAATGTTACATTCTCAACGTGCCCTTTAGAAAAAAAAGGGATGGCTTTTAAATGATCCGTAGCTGGCACTGAAAGCCCCAGCTCTGGCTGCCCCAGCTCAGAAGTGACATGGCGTTCTCGGGAGTGGCTGGCACAGGTGCAGTTCAAGGAGCCCTTTGTGGCACGGGCTGAGGCGGTTCGGCTGCCTGGGGCCATCTGCACCCTCGGCTGTCCTCGTAGGCCCTGAGACTGGCCACGGCCTCACCAGCATCCTGTAGGCCTGGACATCGTCTCCAGTGTCCCCTGCTTGTACTCTCCACGTGAAGGTGGTGACGGCAACTGAGCACAAGTCCCCAGTTGTTTTGCGGGCACGTGGCGCCCCATGGCACACAGCCTGGGGGTCGGCTCGAGGGTGTAGTCAAGGAGGCTGGAGCTGTGCTGTGGTGGGTCCTGACCTCCTTCCTTCCACGATTCCTATGTGTGAACTTGACCTGCTGTGAGGTCAACTTCTTTTGGCCTCTTGGCACTGCTTGCTCAGGACTTGGCATTGAAGCTTGCTACCTCCAGTCGTGTCTGGCTGCTGCCCTGGTCCCCAGGATTCCAGATCCTTCCATCTAGGTCAAGTGTTGTTGGTAGGGGCAGGCCCAGGACCTGACCTTGCTCTTGAAGTTGGGGATGTGAACCTGGAAAGCGCCGCAGCCAGAATGATCGATCTGGAATTGGAGACATGATCCCAATGCTGCAAACCAAGCTTCTCTATCTGTCCACAGGAAGGCGCACTCTTCACGGCAAACCAGCTGACGCGTGCTTCCTACTCCAGGCCCAATGTCCCTCGTCTCACCACTTCCCGTGCACCGGTGCTAGCCACCAGGCCCCAGGTCCCCCTAAGAAACCCCAGTGACTGGCATTCCAGAAATGGAAGAACTGATGGTGACGCAGGGAAGGGTGAGAGGGGGGCAGGAGGTCACAGAGGGCAAGTGGATTCAGGATCAAGATGCAGTAACCCAAAAGAGATGCTTGCGGTCTAGTTTGGGGAAGGGGGTTGGAAATCAAAACACCTGCCACAATCAGTAAGGACATTTCAAAATGAGAGCGCCCAGAACGAGGAGCGGAAGGAGCATGCCAATAAATAGTTCCTTAGTCTTTAAATATGCATCTTGTATAGATAGAGAAAACCCCACGCGCAGCACGTCCATAGATGCAGGGCTCCGCACGCGCACCCGCACTCATGCACACTGGGCGCGCGGGACTGGCCCCAGGGTGGCTGCCTGAGACCGCAGCTGCTCCCTGGGCAGGCCCCCTGCTGGGCAGGAGAGGAATGGGGCGCCCCTTGCAGCCAGGGCTTTCACCCACCTCTTTTCAGATGATGGTGTTGATTCGCTTGCCAGCGCCTGGCCTGAGTGTGCAGCCCTCGCTGCCAGAGCAGACAAGCCGGCAGGAACAGTCGCCCAGGTTGTCTGGGCAGCTGGGCAGGCCACACCCCTAGTGGATGGGTCGGGCTTCTTACAAATGACGTGCAGTCCCCTCTGTAGGCCTGTGGTGTCCCCTCTGCGAGTGGGAGTGAGTCAGGACGTGTGAGTGTGTCCGTGTGCGCGTGTGCAGCCGAGAAAGCTTTGCCCGCTACATTGACGTCTCCACACTGTGCAGGGGGCTGCCGGGCCTGGAAGAGGTAGCTGACTTGCTGGCAGACGTGGCCAGGTAGATGCCGCTGTCTATGGCGTTGTTGTTCTTGTTGGGGGATGGGGGCGGGGGCGCACGCAGGCGCTCCTCGTTCTCATCCACGTCTGTGTCGTCGATGAGCGGGATGTTGTGGGTGTAGTCGTTGATTAAGAACTCGGGCGTGGTCATGAAGTTGTGGATGGAAGTCTTGGAGTCCGGCTTCTCCAGGCCTTCGTAGAGTGAGCTACGGAAGGCCTTCACCACCCGGATCTGGAACCGAGGGAGGACAGCAGGTCCGGGAAGGGAGGGAAGGAGAAGGAGACAGTTAGTGGGATGGCGGTCCACATGGGTGATGTGCACATGACACTAAGTGTGCGTCCGCTGGCGGAGGGGTGGATGGAATGGGGTGGCTGGGCAGGCCTCTCGCGTCCCCTCCCCTCCCCGGCCCTGGGTGGAAGGTGGCGTCTGGGCTGAGGGTGCAGGGTGAAGAGACGGCTGCATTGCAAGAGGCGTGTGGGCAGCTGGCTGTGTGTTCTCTGGGAAGGACAGACTCCCCAAAGATGGAGTCCTTGGCCACACTTTCTCCAAGGGCCTCTCCTGTCCCCCAAGCCTCATCCCCCCAGGCCTCTCCAGCAGCACCCCTGCTGCTCAGCTCTCTCTGCTTCTCCCCACAATATACCACAAGGGCCCACCTCCTCAGCCCTGCTCCTATCTGTTCTCTCTGTCCACACCTCCAGGCTCATCTGCAGGCCTGGAGGCGGTTCTGACCTAGTCTGCAGCCCAGGGCCCCCTTAGAGGGCCAGTCCACCTCTGGGGCATAGGACCATCTGAGACCCGATGAGGCCCCACTTTTCATCTGCAGCCACCAAGCTTGTCCCTGCTCCTTCTCAGAGATGGCATCCGGGAAGTGTTCCTCCCCCAGCCAGCTCCCGCAGCTTGGGGCAATCGCACCAGCCCCTGCACCAGCAGCACTCCCTCTAGGAGACTGCAAGTCCAAGACTGAGGCACTCAAGTCTCAGCTTCAGTCACCAAGCTGCTGCCTCCGACTGCTCCCTTTCTTGGTTCAAGTCCCTGGGCAGGCCTCTGCTAGCTGGCAGAACCAGCACAGTGCAGTCTCCAGGTGCCAGTCACTCCTGCTGGCCAGGACCCACGGGTCCACCTTACATGGGCAGGTGGTGGCCTTTTGGGCCCCGAGGTTCCTATCAGTGAGCTCATGTGGAGCTGAGATACGGTTCTGAGGGCCTTTCTCTGGCCAAGGCTCTAGCATTTGGTTCCCTTGATTAGACCAGAAACTATTGCTTGAGGGCTCAATCCTGCCTAGCTTGTTTTAATGACTAAATTAAAAAATTAGTAACAAAATGGTGTCTATGATTGCTTCCCTCGCAAAGCTGAGTGGTTCTGACAGAGAGCACCTGGCCTTTCACTAGGCGAGCTGGTCAACCCCCAGCTATTAGACAATCAGTACCCTCTTGGCAGCTCGGCCGGTCAAGCATGGTCATCCGAAATCACAGTCTGTTGCGTGCCAAAAGTGAGCTCAATGCTGCCAGAAAATCTGAAGTTTCTACCTCTAGGTCTTAAATCCGGCTTGGATTTTCTTTGTGCTTCATAAGGTCAGCAATCAGATCCTCTCACTAGGGCCTCTGTCCCACAGAATCGGTTTTCAGCCAAAGGCGACACAGAAACTGAGAAGCTGATCTTGTTTTACGTTTTTAATGAAGAGACAGAATCCACTTTCTGGAGGACCCTTTAGGCGCTGGGATGGAAGCCGCCCAGCCCACCCGCCGAGGAAGCCCAGGCTGGAGCGCTCTGGGGACTTCTGCTCAAAGTGCGCCAGCATGGCCCCTCCAGCCCATGGCCACACCCTGTCCCCTCGCTGAGTGGCCGCCTGCTTTCTGTTTTGGTGCTGGGCCACACGACCAGGCCAGGCCTCTGCTTAAGCCCGAGCTCACACCCCTGGCCAGCTCTACAAGTTCTCAACAACTGCACAAATGAACATGGGGGCCACAGGCCACCCACCAAGTCCTGCCCAGCTATCCTCCCAAGTCCTGTTTACCTACATTCAAGTCTTAGGCTGTTAAAAATGGCGCCCCAGTGGTCCTAGGGTGTGTGTATACAGGGTGGGGGGTGCAACTAGAAGCTGCAGGGACATTGCAGGGGCCTATTCTGGGGACCCATCCACCAAAAAGTCCATTTTTCTGAGCCAATTTACAGAAACTGGAATGAGGCCGAGGAAGCTGGGGAAAGCACGGGCAGGGATGGGAGAGGGGTTCTCATCAGAGCCCCTACCAGTGTCCCACCTCTGTCTCCGCCTGCCCCTCCACTCACACGGCCATGGCCCCTCAGGCTCCCCTCCCAGGTCTATGCTGTCACCTTCCCTCTCGATGGCACATTCCTGGTTGCTGTGACAGATGGTCTGTCTTCATGGCCCCCACAGCTCTCCTCTCTTGGAGGCTCTGCCTACCCCCAGCCAGGCATCTTGTGGCCCAACGTGCTGGGCCCTGACTTCCCCGGCGGCCCTTCACTGCCTCCACCCCTCCCGAGCTCATCCTCAGGCCCCACTGTGTTCACTCCGGCTCCCTAGCTCCCAGGCCTGAAGGCTGGGCTCCGGCTCAGCTCTCCACAGTCCTTACTCCTCCCAGGCTCTGCTCCCACAAACTCTCCATTTGCCCAGCTGGCTGCCCTCACCGCCACCCCTCAACCACTCCAGTCTGCCCACTAGACCCAGCCCGAGACCCTTCTTTGGAGTCCATCTTGGTCTTGTCTACTGTCCTGCGGTTTCCCCAGCTGTATGCCACCTTGCTGGCACCATTCTCTGCCCTGCGCAGGCCCTCTCTCGACCTCTTTCCCTGGTCCATCTCCTCCCACTGAACCTAAAGCCCAGCCTGAGGTCCCAGCCACCCTCTCACCTGTCCCTGTGACTTCATCTAGGACAGTGCGTCTGCTCTTGTTCTAATCCCGGGGCTGTCCCACCTCACCTCGCCCTGCCCCTTCTCTCCTCTCCATGCCCGGCCAGCGAGCATGGATGGTCCCAGACCCACCCCAGCCAAACGGCACCAGGACAGGGACTGCCAGAGTCGGCCTCAGCCTGTGACCAAGCAAAGGACCTTGCTGACAGCATTTAAGTTTGTGATGCAGGTGATGGCGGCAGTGGTGGCAATGCAGGAAGAGGAAGAGGGATGGAGAAGCAGGGAGATAAGGAAAGGGCAGAGGGAACCCCCAGCCCAGCCCAAATACAGGGAAAGAAAAGAGGAAAAGAAGATTTGTGACTGAGGCTGTCTACCCTCTCCTTCCCGAGGCTCAGTGACCACCCTCTGCCGACGCAGCCATCGGCAGCACGCTCCTGTGAGCCCTCCACACTCGGCCCTCCAGCTAGTGGCAGGAGGCCAACCTGGGCTTTACCGCAGTGCAGAGGGACATTTTCAAAGAGATTCCGGCAGTGCCCTCGAGGGCAAGAGAAGCCGGCTTCCTAGTCTGAACACGTCAAGAGGGTTCAGGTCCCCACCCTAGCAGCCAACATAGAACCCAGGACAAAGGTGAGTCCCTGGCTCCAGTGAGGCCCTGGACAACAGCACTAGTACCTAGCAGGGCCAGGTGTGCCAGCCTGCATCGGGAGCTCCCTGCCCTTATGGGCATAGGCCTGGACCTGTGGGCCTGAGCTCTGCCCGAGAACATCCTGGAAGGGAGGGGCAGCCTTTCATGATGAGAGCCACGGATGACCGCACAGAAGGCTTCCATGGCCCAATGACAGGCCAGCACCGGCCTGGGAGCAAGACCACCCAGATGAGCGGCTGGGGAGCGGCTGGGGCGTGTCTATCTCGGGGTGCTGAGATAGACCACAGCGTCCACACTGGTGTCCGACCAGCTTTAAGTGAGCCACCCTTGTGTAAGTGTGCCAACAGCTCCCTCATTTCTGAGACTTCCAAATGAGGACTCTTGAATGCCCCTGAGCTACAGGCAGGGTCACGTGGCGTGGCATGGCGCGGTGGCCGTGGTCACAGGCCAGCGGGCCTGGAGAGAGGCTGAGCTGCCATAGGGGAGGGGTGTCAGCAGCAGGCCTATCTAAGTGGGGTGCGGCTCACCACGTCTCTAGACCCTCCGGGGCACCCTCAGGATGTCAGGTATGTGGAACTTGAGGAAGAGCACCTGGGGAGTGTCTCCCCGCCTCTAGTCCTCACACAGGAACATCCCAGCTTAGTGGGGCAGCCTGCAATTGGAAAGGCCTAGGAGCCCAGCATGGCTGCCACCCTGCCTGCCTCCATGGAGCAGGTGTGGGCGGGGGACAGGCACACTGCAGGGGGCACCTTTTGAGCTCCAGAGCAGTTGAAGGGGGCTTTGGGTGCTTGCAGGGGATACGTGTCCCCAAGCCAGGCCACAGCCAGATCACTAGATCTTCCAGGGAGTCCCTGCTGTGACGGTCAGTGGGGGCCAGGCTCCCTGGCCTCAGCTCAGTGCCCCTGAGGACACTCCACTCCCCTGGCACGGTGCTCCCCACCTGGCCAGCCCGGATGAGGTGACTCCCTTCCATACTTACCAGGCACTGGTGGTGGGGAGGAGAGGGGCAGATGGCGGGAGGGGTGCTGGGAGCAGAGGGCGAGAGGCCCCCAGGGGAGGAGGTGAGCATGAGGCAGCAGACCTCTAGGGGTGGGGACGACGGGTGGACACAGCCAGCTGACAGACAGACAGACAGACAGACAGATGGAAAGCACAGAGCAAAATGGCAAAGAGAACACGCGGAGGACGTTAAGGTGCCAGGAGGGAAGTGGAGTGTCTGTGTCCTTAGCTGACCCTTGAGTGCTGGGTGCCTGAGTCTGTGGTGGAGGGGGCTGGTGTGGGTGCAGCCTGGGGCTGGAGGAGGGTGTGTGAAAGGGACGAGGTGACCAGGGCAGGGGGGACTGATGCCATCCACATCCCTGACAGGACTGCCTGCTCAACCCAGCGGATGGGGCTCCCACCGGGGCCTCTCACCAGTTCCTGAAGGAAAAACAAACCAACAAAAACCCAAACCCCGACAAGACAAAAGCCCATCCCAGCTTCTGTGTGGAGGAAGGAAGGCGAGGTTAAGGCAGGTCCGCAGGGCAGGGCTGCTGCGGAGGAAGGTCGCTGCTCTGGAAGATTTGCTCTGCGGGTGTCAGATCTCTCGCATTTATTGTGGAAAGCGGGTGGCCCAGCGTGGGCACAACCGTGGGGAAGGTGGGTCAACAGTCTGCCTAGTGGCTTTACCTTGGCCTTTTTGAAAAACGTGAACCGTTACGCAAGTTTCTACCTCTTTAGGACAAACCCTGTGTTCTCTGGAAAACGCCACCAAAATGGTGGGGCATTTTCATGGAAACGTGTAGAAGGAACGCGATTCCTCCCAGCTTCTCTGAGGAAGGAGGAGAGAGTGGGCGAGATGGTTATGACCCTTCAACCTCGAGGCCTGTTTGGGAAGAGCAAGGTTCTGGAAGGTTCAGCTGATTGGAGCACTCCTCCCCACCCTGGCCAGAGGCCAGGCCTGCTGTCCCCTGGGGGCTGCCTCGGCCCTCCTGGGGAGACCATCTCAAGGAAGATGCGGGGAGCTCTAGGCCCCAGGTGGGGCAGGATTTCCTCCGCTGCAAACGATGCAGAAAAGGCACTTGCCTGTCCTTCCAGTCCTGCCCCCAGACCACTCACTGATGCCACTGCCCGAGCAGCCCCTCAGGTCAATGGCAGGAAGGAAAGAATGGGAGTTCCGAGCCAGTGCATTTCCGTCTGCGGGGGCCGGACAGGGAGGCAGGAGCGAGCGGGAGAGGCACGGAGGGTGCAAGACTGGAAAAGAGAAGAGAGAGGGGGAGGCCTTTTCTCCCCCCAGATGCCATTTATGAGAGAAAAGGGAACTCAAGACTCACTGCCAGCAGCGCTGGTGGGACTGGCAGCAGAGAGAATTAGGTGAGTAGGGGTAGAAAGATTGGTTACGTCATGGAGCTGGCTGAGGACCGAAGACCGCCGACGCAGGGCCCCCTGAAATGAAGCGCTTCTCTTGAAGGTACTCACTACCTCCATCTGTGGGAGAGAAAATGAGATAAAGATTGGCTAGCACTGTTATCCGGGGCCGCAGGGCGAGGCGGAGCGGAGGGACCGCGCTGGGCTCCTCGGCCCCGCTGGCGGGGTGCGCTTGGACGGGGCGGGCACGGAGCGAGGCTTTGCCGAGCACATGATTAGTGGTTACGAGCTGCAGGGGTTCGAGTCAGTCATTTGCACTCAACAGTAGATACCTGTGTCTGGCAAGAGTTCCTTATCCTACTTCAGTATCTCTCGGCCTTTTTTTCTGCCCCAACACACCTGGGGGACACGACACATGTCCATTAGTGTGTGAGACCCAGTGAGGGGTTCTCAGGGGTGTGAGGGGACAATCTGGGGCCTAGTTTGCTACGTGTTCAGAATTGGTTGTGGCTTTAAAAAGATGAGAGAGTATTCCCGAAACATCTTCCCTGTTTTCTCTGAAAGCTTTCTCACAAACCCATGCCAGAAAGAGGGAACACTGAAGGTTCGAGAGCAAATATTGCTTTTTTTTTTTTTTTTGGTCCTCCGCTCTTTCAACTTCCAATGAAAGGGATGTGAGTCTGCGGAAAACAAGAACTTTCTAGAGCCCTGGGTAGGGTCAGAACTCTTCTCTCATGACAACAGGGTACAAGCAGATCAATCCAAGGAACCGAGACTGAGTGGCCACAGCGACTGTCCTCCCATGAGGGGGTCATGTGCTGGCACTGGCATGACATTGCTAGGTAGGGGCAGAGCTGAGGCCGTGGAGGGTGGCTCCGACTTCTGGCAAGTGCCATATATTGGTTGGATGATGTGAGCAGCAAAGTGCATTTGGATACTGAGGCCCTCAGCCTCCTCATGGCCCACAGAGAAGACTGCTCCACTCCCAGGCCCCAGTGGGGACTCGGGCCCAGGGTCAGCTGGGTCACAGAGTCAGGCTTATCTCCCCACCTTCTCATTTCCCTTCACTTTCCGAGTTTCCCTACTACCCACGCCGCCCAAGCAAAGGGGTCTCCAGGAAAGGGGATTCGGGGCCACAGCCTGAGACCCATGACATCTGCATTGTGCTGTGCACATCGGCTCATCGTTGGGGGACTTTGTGTGAGGTACGCTGGGGGCCCATGTCCTCCCTGAGGTACAATACTTTTAGGGTTATAAAGGCAAGGCTACCCAGATGGCACCAGCCAGCTCCTGGAGTGAGAGGTGACAGTATCAGTCAAAGTACCACAGCTGTCATTGCCCTGAGGACACTCGGGCACTGGACCGGAACCAGGCTCGAGTGGCTGGAGCAACGCACTGGCCTCTAAGGGAGTTCGTGTGGTGAGGCCCCAAAGGCTCTTCTGACCTGGCGCCCTAACCACCTCATACGTGAGCACGTGAAATGAGGGCGAGAGGACAGGACTGTTTGAGAACTGTCTTTACTCAGCAGCAAGCTGGGCCATGGCGGCCTACAACAGGGCTCTCTCAGGGCATCATGCCCTAGAGAAGCATCTAGAACATGGCTCTCTCAGGATGTCAAACCTGAGAAAGATCTTCTTGGCTTGATTTGGCTTTTCCATTTCCACAGAGAAGCTGTTAACAAGTTAAAAACTACAGTGAGGAGACTGCGGCATTCCTGAGAAGCTGGGAGGTCAACACGACAACACTGCACTGCAGGTTCCCTGGAGGAACTCCAGTGCGTTCACTGTGGGATGGGCGAGCCTGGGCACTGGCCAGCCCTCGCTGGGGGTTCTCTTGCCCAAAGCCCACAGAAAACAAAAGGCTCCATCAGCAGGAAAGAGCTGGGCTACCTGAGGGACCCAGCAGAGCAGGGACAGCACAGAGCAGAGGTGGCGGGCCGACCCCAGGCTCTCAGCACCGTCATGTAGAAGACATGGGTAAGTGGCCGGAAGACGAGGAAGCCCTGAGCACTGCCAGGAACAGGGAGCACCGTGCACAAGCTTCCTGCTCCTGGGCCTGAGTCAGTCACACCCGGTAGGATAACTGTCACCCAGGACTGTCCTCTGGGCCACGGCAGCCAGTGGGCATGCTGTGATGGAGAAACCCCACACCCCACGCAGTGCCATCTTAACGCTGGCCTGCAGGCCTCACTGTCCACGTGCTGGGTGGGAGGGGGCAAGGCTGAGAATCCCCCACAGAAGGAGGTGGTCTCTGGCACAGGCAGCCAAGGAGGGGTCGTCCTTGAGGGAAGGAAGTCAGCAGCGCTGGGAGCTGGGTGGCAGGAGCACAGCATGCCCGTGGGAACAGCAGGAAGCCACAGCCCTGTGGATGGCCAAGGGGGCTTAGGGGGCAGGGGAGCCTGGTGAGCAGCTGGGCAGGTAGCAGGTGTGCAGTCCAGGGCCGACCCCACAGGCAGGCCCTCACAGGGCCCTGGGGTAAAAGTGAGAGCTCAGGAGAGGTGGGCTGAGCTGGGGTCATCTCAGTGAAGGCTACAGGGCGCATTGGGCAGAGGGGCGGGGGAGCCCACAGCCTAGGTGTGCACTCTGTTCAGTGTGAGGGGGCATTTGCTGGGCTGGGGCGCCCAGGAGGTAGGGAGAGGTGGGAGGGCAAGGTGGGCGGGCTGCAGCAGTGCATCATGGGGCTGACTGGTAATGAGGTTCGCAGGCTCCTGGCTGGATACAAGGGCCTTGCAGGACGCAGAGGGGGTAAGTGAGGGCAAGGACCCGAGGCAGGCACCAGGGAGAGCAGGGTGGCAGGGTGGGAAGCAGCGTTGGGGCAGGCGAAGCCCGAAGAAGCCAGTCTTGGGGACCTAGACGACAAGTGTTTCTGGGCCCTGATTGGCAGAGGTCAGCTGCAATGGGATGAGAGTGAGTGTGAGGGAAGGGTGTGGTGAGACATTAAGTATGGAATGTTCTGGAAAGCAAACTGGGTGGGAAGAGTCAGGGTAGGGAGAGGGCGGAGCACCTCCTGCTGACTTTACAGAGGACCTGAGCTGATGGCCTTGACCTCCAACCACCCTACAGTTTGTAGCTTTGGGTTGTAACAGGAAAGAGAGATTCTGGGAAGCAAGTTTCCCATGGAATGCTCAGTATACTCCAATTAACAGTCCGCCAAGGCCATCTGAATGGGTGCCAGGCCTTGGGCAGTGCCTACCATACGGGGTGAGGCCAGCAGCTACCAGAACAAACTCCAAGGTGACACGTGACCCGCTAAGGCCAGACCACCTGGGCTGAGGGGTGCATCATGGCTGCTCGGCCTTGGCTCCTCCCTCTCCCTCGCCCCTCTGGGCTGACTAGCCCATGCCACCCTCTCTGGCCTCACCTGTGTCTGGATCCGGTTGAGGCCTCGGAACCAGAGGATCTGGCCCCTGCGGAGCTCTCGCTCGGCATGATCGATCTCCTCCTCCCCCTCGGCCAGCTCCTCGTCCGTCACCTCGTCCTTCCCAGGCCCGTGGCCAGCCTCCTTTAGGCACGTGAGCCGACTGGTGGGGATGGTGGCGATGACCTTGGGGACAGGAAGCAGAGGTGGCCTCAGCCCTCGACATCAGGTCTTTCACCTCCCAGGTAGCCCTGGCTCACGGGAGTTGGAGCCAGCCTTTTCCCAGGCATCACGATGGGGACAAGCCCTGCCGGGCCCTGAGGCTGGGCCCTGGATTGGGGAGGCCTGGTGCCAAACTCCTCTCTCCAGAGGATCTGCCAGTACCTTTCTCTGCTGAGACCCAGAGCCCAATGCTGGTTGGCAGCTGTGGCTAGTGAGCTGACCTCGCTGCAGCCTGGGCAGGTTGGGTCACCTGTAGGGCCCACTGTGCACTTAGAGACCTCCAAGGCTGGGCTCCAGGGTGCCCAAGGCCCTCAGCCTTCCTCCCTAGAGGCCCTCAGCTCAAAGGCCAACCCCTCAGGCCCACCACCATCACATCCCCAACACGCCACCCCCTATGCAAACCCAGAAGTGCTCAGTCCAGACTTGTCTAGGTGCAGCTAAAGGCTTGGGCCTCAGTCAAACACAGGAGCTGATGGCTACAGTTGGGAGAGAGCAGGGCAGCCTGGCCCTTGTGTGGGGACCCTGAAGCCCAAGAGGCATCAAAGTACATCAGAAATCATGGTGGACACTGGCCTTCCCTGGGCCAGACTCCAGCCCAGTTGTGGGGACAGAAGGATGAACTGGAGAGATTGCCACATCTGAATGAGCGCAGACTGGGGCCACCTCATGGAGCAGGGACTCTGTGCTAACTGGGCCAGATGAGCCTGGACTTCCCATATCAGTGGAGCAGCGGGGATCGAACCTGGGGTGTACAAAGGCCAGGAACTGAGGCTGGAGCTCAGGGAGCCAGTGGCATGCAAGACAAAGCCCAGCCACAAGAACCAGGTTGATGGGACACAAGTGACAGCCAGGCACTTGGGCCACCACCGACACAGACAGGGAAACTCCCTGCCCTCAGCTGACATCACACCGCTGCTCACTCTGGAACTCCAAGCCTCACCAGCCCGGAGTGTCCTTGCCGAGCAAACTGCCCACCTCCCGGCTTCCACACCCCACCCCCACCCTTGCTGAGGGCCAGGGCTTGGTTGGGTCGTATTTTTGCAGCCTGTAAAGGGTAAAGGCTGTGCTGCAATGCTGAAGGCACGCGGTTCGAATCCACCAGCTGCTCCGCAGAGAAGGCTGGGCAACCTCATCCCGTGCAATTAACTGCCTCTGAAAACCCACCAGAGGGTCGGCTCTGGGTCAGAGGTCTTCGTGGTGGGGCCGGGCCAGGGCAGCCATGCGCTCGGGAGGGTGAGGAGGCAGCTGGCATGACTGAGGCCCTAACTGGAGTGAGGAGAGTGGGAGGGCCAGCGGGGACAGTGGGAAGCCTAGTGGTAGAGGAGGAAGGCAAAACTGGGGCGCAGTGGAAATTGATGGGTCATGTTGGCAGCCTCTGTGACCAGCTTCAGGGCCAAATGCAGATGCAGAAACCCAAGCACAGATGGAAGTGAGTCCTGAACTCGGCCTCTGAATGCCAGCGTTCTAGAACTCTGCAGGAATGTCTTCAGAGGCCTGGCTCAGCCAAGTGACTGCGTTCTGACGAATCGCTAGCAATCCAGGACGCTCTTCCCTAATACGGTTCAAGGCGATAAGTTTCCCATATAAACTTGGTATTAGCTGGGCCCCAGATCTTGCATTTTTTCCCAATAGTTCAAAACAGTTGATAATCTTCCTTATTTTGCAGTGCATGGTTTAATCCCAACCCCTTGGCGTGATTATCTGCGTTGTGTGGGACACAGACCTGAGCCACGCTGCACCAAAGGCCATCTGCCCGCCACGTCTGCATTTCCGTCCCACCTTTGGGTACGTAATTTTCGATGAGATCTCTCTCGCTACTTTTTACCTTAACAACAACAACAACAAAGGCCATCTGCCCTACGTGGCTTTCCTTTCCCCAGCACCCACAGGTGTTCTGTACGCTGTCAGGAACATGCAGTGGGACTGCAGAAGGTGTGCACCATGACGACCATCACATCAGATACTCACCTGTCCCCAGACCAGCTCCCCAAAACCAACAAACAGGCACCAGAGCCATTGTTCTGCCGAGAGCGGGGAGCAGCTGAAGGGTTTTCCACCGAACTGGACGATGACAATCTGCAGAACAAAGATGGCGACAGGCGGGTCTGGTAGCAGCCCCAGGGGGGCGGGCAGACCTGGGGCTCCTCCTGCCAACCTGAAGACTACCCCAAGCACAGTCACTCCCTTGCCAAGCAGGCCCACCTCTGTGCACCCTCCTCTGGCGCATGGGGCCTGCCCTCCCTTCAGACCCAGCTCAGCCTCCTGATGGTTCCGTCATCCCTCTCTCCCAGGCAGGAAGGCCCTCCCCAGAAACAGGCCTCTTTCTCCTGACTCCGGGCCTCCCTTTGTTTCTCCCTCAGAAGTACCTACAGAAGACCTCATGGATGGGCTGACCAGTCCCAGAACACCAACAGATCAGTCTGCACCCTCAGCTGGCCAACCCTACTCCCAACAGTCCTCAGTGGGCCCTCCTACTGGAGTGCTTGTCAACACTGGGAAGAAGACCGCGCCTTCGAAAGAATGTTCTTGAATTATAGTGTCATTGCAGAAATCAGCATGTCACCACTGGAAATGAAGGCATCTTCTAAAGAAACTTCTGGAATCATTGTGGCCTTACACCAAAACATTAGGATTGGAGGAAGATTCACTAGCAACCTGCGATATGCAGGTGACATGGTGTTGCTTGCTGAAAGTGAAAAGGACCTGCAGCATTTGCGAAGAAGATCAAAGACTTCAATAAAAAAAAAAAACAAAAATCCTCATCACTGGACCAGTTCGCACTGGATGCTAGCGACTGTTTCCCTTTTCTTGGATCTATAACCAACACTCATAATACACAGTCAAGAAACCAAAAGACGCATTGCACTGGGTCGATGTGCTGTCAAAGACCTCAAAGTCCTAGAGCAAGGATCCCAAAACATATTCTTTTCCATTGCTTCTTATGCACGTGACAGTTGGACAATGACTAAGAATGACAGAAAAAGGATTGGCGCCTTTGAGCTGTGGTGCTGGAGAAGAGCGCTTAACGTCCTTGGACAGCCAGGAGAGCAGTATGTCTGGGGGGGGTGCGGCTAGGGTGCCCCTTAGAGGCCAGGATGGGAGACTTCATCTCACTCACTTACTGACATGTTGTCAGGAGGGGCCAGTTCTTGGAGAGGGACATTATGTTTGGAAAAGTCGGGGGTCAGAGACACAGTGACTGACTGCATCAGTGGGGACCGTGGGGCTGGCACAGGGCCAGGTAGAGTTTCCTTCTTTGACTCCTGACAACACCAACCACACATCAATGAAGCAAACGGCAATGGGACCATCCCCAGATGACAGAGCTGGGTAGGGTCGCGCCCAGAATCTGGGAGATGTCTCCTTTCCACGTGGAGTCAGCAGGTTAAAGAGGGCAGGGCTGCAGGACATACTGACAGGAGCTGGCGACCTGGGCCATGGTCCCATCCCGCCTGGAACCACCTCCTACCTGGATGCCAAAGGTGCCCAAGACGATGGAGCAGAAGATGGGGTTGCTGAAGATGCCTTCGAAGACATTCCTCTCACCATGGATCTTGCGGGCGTTGATCTCATTGAAGAGCTGCATCATGACGAAGGTGTTGAAGATGATGGTATAGTGCTCCGAGGGTGGCGAGTGCAGGGGTGCGTTCCTCCCGCTATCGATGTCAAACAAGACCTCCCCTGGAAGCAGTGAGGCGCAGGGGAAGGGCTGGAGCAGTACCCGGCCACCATGGGGTGCAGGGGTCACTTGGCTCCTCACAAAGAGAGGAATGTTAGCCAGGGGGCTGGACTCAGCCGTCTGTGGTGTCTTCCCACAGGGGTTCAGCCTTTGGCCCCTCGGCTGCCCTCTCCACCCAGACATGCTAGTCCCTCCCAGAGCCCAGCTCCAGGCCCACCTCGAGCTAGGCTGGCCCCGTGAGGATGCTGCCTCCATCCCCACGGGGCTCACGCCCCACCCCTCCTTCCTCTGTCACTTTCTCCTCCCTCTGCCCCCATCTCCCTCCTCTCCCTCTTGCTAGCTCTCCTTCCTATCCTTCCTCCCTCTGCCCCCTCCTTCTCCTCCTCCCCATCCCTCCTCCCCCAACTTCCAGCTGGGCTCCCTGCTCAGAGTCCAGTGAAAGCGTCCCAGGTAGTGGGCGACTGGGTGAGTGCTGGGTAGGCGGAGGAGATGCCCCTCCGGGTGGGAAGCTGGTGCACTATGCGGCCAGCGCTACAGACACAAGCCACGGGGCCCCAGGTGCCTACCCACAAAGAGCAGGGTGAAGATGATAGTCAGCTGGTAGACTGCGTGGCCCAGAATGTTCTTCATCATGGTGCGGGAGATGAGGGGCTTGTCCCGGCCGTACGGCTTCCGCAGGAGCAGGGCCTCGGTGGGCGGCTCTGTCGCCAGGGCCAGAGAGGCGAAGGTGTCCATGATCAAGTTTACCCACAACATCTGCACGGCTTTGAGGGGAGAGTCCTGTGGGGATGAGGCTGTCACTCCTCCCGTGGGGCCAGCCACCCAACAGCCCCCTGGGCTCCTGAGGGGAGACTCGGTTTGAGGCTAATGTACTGGTTTTGCTGCACAAATCTGCACTTCCCATTAAAATGTGACTTTTCTTTGTCACATTCGTCATCTGTAACCCTTTTCTTTAGTGTGTGGACAGTGGGACAGTGCAAAGACTTCTCAAGGCTGGCAGTGAGTGCCTAGCCACAGGCTCGCCGATTCTGGCCCTGACCCTGTGTGGAGCAAACCTCAACGACTTCTCGATAAAAGAGTAATCAAACAGCCTGGTCCTGGGTTAACAACAGATCCACAGGCCAATGGAATAGAATCGAGAGTCAAGAAATAACCCAGCACATGCACGGTCACGGATTCTCCTCCTTCCCGGCGGATGGCGTTCTCCAAGGACTGGCCCTCCTGACAATGTGTCAAAGGGCACGGGATGAAGCTTTATCATCTTTGCCCCCAAGGAGCACCCTGGCTGCACCTTGTCCAGGACAGACCTGTTTGTTCCTCTGGTCGCCATCAGAGAGAGACCAATTCAAACCACTTCACTCTCACTCTGATTAAAAGAAAATGATACATGTCGGTGGGCATGCGGGGAAATGGGAACCCTTATGCACTGCTGGCGGCAAAAGCAAAATGGTACAGCCCTTGTGGAAAAAAACTGTGTGGCAGATCCTAAAAAAAACCCAACCAAAAAATTCTAGAAAACTCCAACACTTCAACAAGAAAAAGACAAATGCTTCAATGACAGCTAGGCAGAGAACAGGAATAGACACCTCACCAGAGAAGACATCCAGATCACCGACAACACTGAGATGCCACCTCACTCCAGGAACAACAGCAACATTAAATAAGCCGTGAAACACCAAACGCTGGCGAGGGTGCGGAGAGAATGGTACCATTAGCCACTGCTGGCGGGAAGGTACAATGGGGCAAGCACAATGCAAAGCAGTATAGTGCTTCCCTGAAGAGCTGGAAATAGACACAGAGCCATGATGCATGCTACAACACGGATGGACCTTGCAAATACATGCTAAGTGAGGTAAGTCAGACACACAAGGACAAATACACTATGTTCTCATCTCCGTGAGGTATTCAGGGGCAGGGCAGCAGTGATTAATGGTTAACGGTGGGGCAACATGATTAACGCAGTAGCCATCACTGAGCTGTATACCTGAGAAAGACCCAACTGGCAAATGTGTCATATGTCCTTTTAGAACAACACCCAAAGAGAAGCTGCCGATGCTGTTTATGCACAACCTGAACTTCCTGGAGCGCCTTCTCTAGTTTCAGAGGCACACGGGCATGGTCTGTGGTGCATACCTGCCAGCCGTCCTAACATCGCTGGGAGTGTTTCTCCTTTACCTGCTGGGCACTGCAAGCACTGGCCTGGCTACCATTATTGAGTTTATGATCTGAGACTCCCTAAGAGAATTTTAATCCAAAGAGGAAAATGTGGGATACAATTTCAAAATCCCATGGAATCCAAACTTTCTGGAGGACTGGAGCTGAGCGGTCCCCCATCCCCCAAGAGTGTTGTTCTGAGGCAACCTTTCCACCTAAAACCTTAAGTTTAGGGGTGACTGCACTTCCATTTCATGTTAATAAGGAGAAAAAGAAAGGTTTTCTCTCGCCCAGATTGGACAACATAAGCAGGGAGGAGGCTAGAAACCAGAAATGGCCTGACTTGATGAGACAATCGAAGACAGGAAAAGGCCGATTCTGAACTTGACCTTCCTTCTCTTCCTCTCCTCTGATGAGATAGATAGTTAAAACTACCCTAAGAGAATCCCGAACAGGCACACCGTGGAGACAGAAAGACGCCGAGTGGCCAGGGGCTGAGAGAGGGAGACAGGAGTGACTGCAGAGGAGTCCAGGGTTCCTGTTTGGGGTGATGAGAAAGTTCTAGAACTAGATGAAGTGGTGGCTGCACAACGTGGGGAAAACATTGAAAGCCACAGAAGTGTCCACTTTCAAACGGTTAAAATGGGAAGTTTATGTGCTGTGACTGTGACCTCAATGAAAGAGAACACAGCTTGAAAGGGTCACGTTGATGAGGAACTCAGCAAACCACCAAGAGGAAGCCCGTGGCACGCTCTGACCATGACAAGTTACTGCCAGTACTCAGCCCATTCACAGAGGAGACTGGAAAGCTGACTTTGTGGGGACTGCAGTCAATGTCACACAAAAACGTGGCTGGACGGCTGTGTGGAAACCTTCCCACTCATCATCATCATCATCATCAAAACTTTTGAAAAAGTTGACCAGAGCGTTTCCATGTGACCTGCAAATCTTAAGCCCAGTATGTACCCAAGAGCCATCAAAGCACGGACCCAAAGCAAGAGTCACATGGTCGAAACTGTCTGAGCAACTGTCAGCAGCTGACGGGACAAACACACGCGGTCAATGCATACACTGCAGTGCTGCTGCTGTTGTTACGTGCTGTCGAGTCACCTGCGACCCATAGCAACCCTGTGTACAACACCTCTGCAGCCTGCCCTGTCCTGAGCCAGTCTCCCTGACTCCGACACACCGACCCCCATCGCCCCAGTTACCATGTCAATCCATCTCCTCCAGGGGCTTCCTCCCCTGCGCTGTCCCTCTACCCTTCCAAGCATGATGTCCTTCTCCAAGGACCGCTTCTTCCTGACCATGTGCCCAAAGAACGGGAGCTGGAGCTTCAGAATCCTCGCCTCCAGGAAGACACTGGAGTATTACCCAGCCGTAAGAAGGAACGAAGTCCCAACACATGTATGACACTGACGAACACTGAGAATATACTAAATGATGGCAGGACTAGACAAGTTCAGAGTCACAAATGACATCCGAGGTTCCTGGAAGCTGCTTGCCAGGCCCAGGACTGCCTGTCCCCTTACAACCTCTGGAGTGTACACTCGACAATGGTGACGCTTGAGGGTATGTGGATCTTATCACGATTGGAAAAAACGCAGGGAGGGGAAAAAACCTCCTCTCGGCTTCCTTACTCCCTCCCGGTGCCCACCTGAGTGATGCACGCCCCCGTGAAGGCCACGATCACAGCCACCACATTGACGGTCAGCTGGAACTGCAGGAACTTGGAGATGCTGTCGTAGACGTTGCGGCCCCACATGACAGCCTTCACAATGCTGGTGAAGTTGTCATCGGTCAGGATGATGTCCGAGGCCTCCTTAGCCACGTCTGTCCCTGCAATGCCCTAGGGTGTGCACACACACACACACACACACACACACACACACACACA